GCTATTCTCCACCGATAATGAAGTCTATTGATCCTACTCTCCACGGATGATAAGTCCGTTAAGCATCGATTTGGGCCGATTTATTTTCGGATGGCATTTTCGTAATTTCTTGGGCAACAAGAGGCCATTTTCTTTTGATATTGAAGGCTACAGATCACGGATTCGCCCTGAGGCTATTCTCCAACGATGATTGAGTTCATTAAGCACCGATTTGGGCGGATTTATTCCGGGTCAATTTTTGGCATATTTCAAAGGGGGTACAATCACAGATTTCGGGCAATTTATCCGCAATGCCATTTTCTTTAGATTCTGGAGGCTGCAGATCACGGAATCTGGCCGAGGCTATTCTCCACCGATAATGTAGTCTATTGATCCTATTCTCCATGGATGATAAGTCCGTTAAGCATCGATTTAGGCCAATTTATTTTCGGATGTCATTTTCGTAATTTCTTGGTTGTCGAAAGGCCATTTTCTTTGGATATTGAAGGCTACAGATCACGGATTCGACCTGAGGCTATTCTCCAACGATGATTGAATCCATTAATCACCGATTTGGGCGGATTTATTCCGGGTCAATTTTTGGCAGATTTCAAAGGGGTACCATCACAGATTTCGGGCGATTTATCCGAAATGCTATTTTCTTTCGATTCTGGAGGCTACAGATCACGGAATCAGGCCGAGGCTATTATCCACCGATAATGAAGTCGATTGATCCTATTCTCCACTGATGATAAGTCCGTTAAGCATCGATTTGGGCCAATTTATTTTCGGATGGCATTTTCGTAATTTCTTGGGCGACGAGAGGCCATTTTCTTTGGATATTGAAGGCTACAGATCACGGATTCGGCCTGAGGCTATTCTCCAGTGATCATTGAGTCCATTAAGCACCGATTTGGGCGGATTTATTCCGGGTCAATTTTTGGCAGATTCCAAAGAGGTACCATCACAGATTTCGGGCGATTTATCCAAAATGGCATTTTCTATTGATTCTGGAGGCTACAGATCACGGAATCAGATCGAGGTTATTCTCCCCCGATAATGAAGTCTATTGATCCTGTTTTCCACGGTTGATAAGTCCGTTAAGCATCTATTGGGGCCAATTTATTTTCGGATGGCACTTTCGTAATTTCTTGGGCGACGAAATGCCATTTTCTTTGGATATTGAAGGCTACAGATCACAGATTCGGCCCGAGGATATTCTCCAACGATGATTGAGTCCATTAAGCACCGATTTGGGCAGATTTATTCTGGGTCAATTTTAGGCATATTCCAAAGGGGTACCATCACAGATTTCGGGCGATTTATCCGAAATGCCATTTTCTTTCGATTTTGGAGGCTACAGATCACGGAATCAGGCCGAGGCTATTCTCCACCGATAATGAAGTCTATTGATCCTATTCTCCACGGATGATAAGTCCGTTAAGCATCGATTTGGGCCAAAAAAATTTCTGATGGCATTTTCGTAATTTCTTGGTCGACGAAAGGACATTTTCTTTGGATATTGAAGGTTAATGATCACGGATTCGGCCTGAGGCTATTCTTCAACGATGATTGTGTCCATTAAGTACCGATTTGGGCGGATTTATTCCGGGTCAATTTTTGGCAGATTCCAAAGGGGTATCATCACAGATTTCGGACGATTTATCCGAAATGCCATTTTCTTTCGATTCTGGAGGCTACAAATCACGGAATCAGGCCCAAATCTGTGAAAGTAGGCATCATCGAGCCATTAATCTCCAATTTCCATCGAGCCAATTATAAGATATGAATCTCCAAAGTAGGCACCATGAAACTGTTTTTACACTCAAACAACATATTAGGTCGACCTAATCCTAACTGAGGTCGACCGAAAAGTACAAGTTACGATGATATGCATGTCACCATAGGGGCACCAAAAATATATCATGGTGGTACTAAATATACCATATTAGTATATCATATCAAATCAATAGAATTCATAACTGAAACATAAGAGATTAAGAAAAGGTCTTTTCAGTCTCAACCTTTAAATTGATCCAAGAGTTTGATATTTAATTATAAATTCTGCATAATTTTGGGATTATGCATCGTTCAAGATTGTCCATCTTTACACCCAAAGAAAGAAATTATGTGGAAAGATAAATAGGAAAAAGAAAGGAATTGGAATTTCATTAGTGAAAATTAAAATATTAATTTTAATAAGTTTTCATGGAGTTTCTCAAATTTGTATGCCTGCAAAAATTGAATTAAATATATATTTGGAACAGAAAATATTTTTATAAAGCTAGAATGAAAAATATACCATGGTGGTACAATAAATATATCAATCTGGAAAATATCCATGAGCACCACAATGTTTCAAAATATATATTATTTCATAGATTAAAATTAATTTATTTTGAATTTCGAGTTAGAACGAAGAATACCAAACATTCAACTAAAAAGTAATGTATTATAAAATTCATTTAGATCTCCAATCATTTAATTGATGAAAATTCTCGATATTGGTTATAAATTTTGCATAACTTTGAGGTTACGTATTTCAATTCAAAAGTATGTAGAGAAGGACTATGTAAAAAATCAAAATTGTATTGGAGAAAAGTAACTGCAACATGTTTACCAAGTATGTAAAAAAAGTGATTGAAATTGCATTAAAGAAAAATTAAAGGTAGCAAATAATTATGTTGCAAAATGTTTCCCCACAACACCCATAATATAAGATTAAGATTAACAGTCAAGAGTTTTGATGTGTAGGTTGTAGGGGTGTTGAAATGGTTACCATGGTTATTACCAAATTAAATAAGGCTAAATTTCATTAATCATGGAATATAATATCATAACCAAACCATCCAAACTAATACAACAACCAAATTAACCAAACTAAAGTTTAATCGGTTTGGTTAATTGGTTAACCAGATTAACCAATATAAAATGACATTATCATTAAGTGAGAAAATTTTCCGTTAATTTATCAATTCAAAATTTATATAATGAATAAAACATAACAATCAACACATAGTTTTAGTTGACCCTTAACATAAATACATGCAACTAAGACAATTATCTTACGGTTAGTAAATTGTTGTGTTTGTTTGAATTGGCTTAGTCTTTTAGCAATTTTCATAGGCTGAAAAGGACCTTGTTTTCAAGTTTTCATCCAACATAATGTATGAGATTTATCTAAACTAGGCGTTCATATGTTGTGGTCTACACTCTACATATACAAATACACATTATAGGAACAACATCAAGCTTTATATTTTATGAGTCTAAAAGGGATGAATGTTTAACTCTTGAGTGGTTATCCAAAGTATTAAGTAGGTGTATATATTAGATATATGGCTAATTATTTATCTGGTTAATTTGGTTTGGCTGGTTAGTAGTGTCTGAAACCAAACCAAACCACTAAACCAAACAAGCTAAGAACTTTAAGGGATGGGATACGGTAACAACCCCTAAGGGGTTGTGAGATTGACAACCAAGGGTATTTTGGGTATGACAAAAAAAACGAATTTGTTAATTAATTTTTTATTAACTACAGATTGGGAATTAAAAACCAATATTAAATACATGTTTTTTAAAATTTTGAATCCTACAATAAATACAACTCTCTCTTTCTATCTCTCTCTTCCTTTTCAAGCAGCCACTCCACTCCGACCAGCAGACTTTCTCCGGCAAGATCCTTGAATACGACTCGCTCTAGCCACCTGTAAAAAATTAAAACTCTGTCAGTACGTTAGTGGTACTTACCACTACCACTGGTACCACTACCATCTGGTACCGGGTAGTGGTAGTGTACCATTGCCTTCTGATACTTAGTAGTGGTAGCGTACCACTATCATTTGGTACCAATACCATCTGGTACCTGGTAGTGGTATCGTACCACTACCAGGTACCAGATGGTATTGGTACCAAATGATAGTGATAGCATACCACTACCAGCTACCACTCCATATAGTACCACTACCAGTAAAAAACCAGTACCACTACCACTAGAAAATAAGTACCACTAGAAAAAACCAGATCTGAAAATCCAAAAATCATGGATATGAAAAACGAAGAGGAGGAGAGGAGAGGAGGCACAAAGAGGCAGAGGGACTCACACCGGAAGAGGTAAGGAGAGGAGGCTAGTGGCAGGGGTAATCGATGACCTCGCGGTAGAGACCTCGTGGCAGGGGCGGAGAGCGCGAGACGGCAGCGACAAGGGCAGAGGCAACGGTGTGAAGAGCCAAGGGGCAGCCGACAGGGGCGGAGGTGCAGCGGGACTGTTGTGGATGCGACGACGGGAATATGTGTCGGTGGGAGGAGGGCAGTAGGAGGAAGGTGGCGGCGGCGGCGGGAGGAAGGCGGCGGCGGGAGAAAGGCGACGACGGTAGGAGGAGTTGACGAGATGGGAGGAAGAAGAAAGAAGGAAGAACAGGCGTTGGTGGCGGCCGCAGAGAGAGGGAGAATGATATGAAAATTCTAATTAGGGTTTTTAGAGAGAGGAGAAGAATATTGAATTTAATAGGGGTTATAATCCCATGTGGTCATATTTTTTCGTCCAAAAATACCCTTGTACCAATCTCATCCATCAATTTAAAAAAGCATGAAAGAGAATGAATCTAATGGTGGATAAAGTGGGTTGTGAAAATAACAACCCTAAAAAGGGTTGTCACCGTATCTCACCCCGAACTTTAACCAAACCAAACCAATTATCCAAATTATCCAAACCAAACTATCCAAATAGTACTGGTTAAAACGGTTACCATGATAACCACACCGTTTGAACACCCCTAGTGGGTTGGCCTCAGATTGTTACCCAATGTTCTGCTATTTATTTGTTTATAATAAATCTAATTCACCGGGAGAAATATACAAACCAAGAAATATACTTTTCTCATTGCAATGCACGTGCAACCGACCTTAGCTCAGTTGGTAGAGCGGAGGACTGTAGTGGTTAGATCTGCCAGTTAATCCTTAGGTCACTGGTTCGAATCCGGTAGGTCGGATTTTTTTTAAGTTTCATTGTTTAAGAAACCTGACACGGCAGTGGGCTAAACAACAAGGCAGAGGTCCATTAAGAGACGGCCCATGACCATAAACAACGTTATTCTGTCGCCGATTGGGCTACCGAGGTCGGCTCAATGAAGGGGAGGCCCATAGACACAGGTAGAGGCACCAACTACGTTATTGCTGATACGGACAAACTTCATTTTGCCGATCCATCACGTAAAAATGTTTCAGGCAGTGAAAATGCTTCAAATTTACACATACGCTGACTTCTTCCCCAAATGGAGGCCTTTCTTGGTACTCATCTGTCTGCTACGAACCGCAAGCAGTAGCTTGACATGGTAATGCTTGGGACTGGATTATAACCCGAGCTCCTGAAGCAAGCCTGTTTTCATTAATTGGTATGTCAGAGAAAGATAAATATTTATCAGCTTGAATGCGAATACGTTTGAAGATGGCTTGAAATCAATACTCAACTTTCTTCGATCTGGATCACGTCGTCGTCGTTGTTGTTCTCTTCTTCCCTAAAAGATTCCAGCTTTTGGGGCTGTTTTCTGCCGGAGTCGTGCTCCATGACGATTCTTTTACTGCAACCGTGAGGGGTATCGAGGGCTACTGAGCCGTCAGCTGAGTTTCGAGGCTTGTCGGAAGTAGGGGAACGCATTGAGCTAGATCGAGGGTGCTTGCTCGAGGAGGCCTTCATTGCTAAAGGAATGCACTTAGAACCTACTCCGGAGGCTGATTCTTCTCCATCCTCGCTCTGATCCAGTTGCTTAGAGGTCCTGCAAAAAGATTATATTTTTTTTAATCAAGGGCGGCTCACACGAGATACAGAATAACTCTATGGTATAAATGGTAGCTTTGCTTGCAGCCAAAGGAACAACTTTAAGGTCTGTCAAAGAATAATTCCACTTACCATCAATCAAATGAATTGATGTCTAATGAAGTGGTCAAGAGGTGTGCATCAAGTTAAACGAAGTTATTAAATAATGCTTTGATCTATAACATAGCGGGCTAGCTTTACCTGTCTGCATTGTAAGAGGAAGAGCGTTTCAGGGACGGAAGTGCGCCTTCCTCCTTGGGCAAGTTTGTCTCAATCAAGCTCCCACTGAAGTACTCTTTATCTTCCAATCTCAAGCTCATTAGCCTAGGGTTCTCCGAGAGGCAATCGAGCTCCCCAAACATGATTGACCTAGAAAACAATGGAGAGGCATATTTTGAATGGGAAAATTTCGGCTTGTAAGTTGGGATGAGTCCAAAGCTGTGATCTTTCACTGAGATAGATCCACAAGAGATCAACTGCATTAATACATTTGTGGCCTTTAATCTCGGATTGGTTGACATCCGAACATCCTCCCCTTCCAGTATCCTAAAGCTGTTGATCTTATCACCATCAGCTCTAATCAAGGACTCCAACGTTTCGGTTTTGCCACCGGATGAAGATGCACCACTGGAAGTAGATGATGGTGGTGGAGAAGAAACCGAATTCTCACCAGTCTCAGAGCAATCCTTCTTCACACGAGGGATCCGCCTCTGCGAATCAACATTGCACTCACGTTCTAATGAACAATCGTCAGTGGAAACGCCTCGAGTGCAAGTCTCTCTGGCTTTAGGTCCGCTAACATGATTCTCTTCTGTCTGAGTTGAAGCATGTGCAACCCCTTCGCTTTTGTAGACCTTGTATTCTGTCAACCCGAGGGAACCACTCCAAGTAGAATTATTTCCATCTCTGGACTCTGGAGATATGCTAGAGGAACCAGCACGACGTGGTCTTGGAGGGGAAAGCTCGTCCTCCTGAGAGAGCTTTGTTTCCTTCCCATACATGCTCGATGAAGATGAAGAGTCGTCTTGACTTCTGGAAGAAGGTGGTTCTGGCAATTGTTTCAGATTATTCCGAATCTTCATCGCTCCAACAATGGCAGAACGGTCTGGACAACAATATCGAATCTCTTAGGCCCTCAAGCTTCTGAAACGAGAGTAAAACAAGTCTTAACATGAAAGCACCAACAGGCTAACCTGGATTGGAATCTTCAAATAGTTCAGAACCTTTGAGAACGTACTCATTTCCATGTGCAGGAACAATCAGGTCGTCCTCAGAAAGGTCATGCCAAACAAATCCACTTTTGTAGCTTCTGCAACAGAATAAGGAACCAATCATAGACTCTAATCTCTTTTCATGCCTATAGACTTCCTATTTTCCCGTAACCAAACAGTCCAAGAATAAAGAAAAATTTGAGCCGAAGGAGAAAGATCTAACTAGGACAATTTAGTCACCTCTTGCTGGACCACGAGTACATGGAAGCCATTCCTCTCCCTCTCAGCACGTTAAGCTTCTCAATCACATCTGCTCAAACACAAAAATCTCATCAATTTTCAAAGCAAACGGAGAGTGAAGACAACAAGAAACCGGAAATGAGAGATGCAGACGCAGACGCAGACCTCTGAGGTAGAGACCGTCGGGCGAAGAGAGAGGGACTTCAATGAAATGAGGATGCTCGAGCTGGCGGTTCCGGCAGAGATAATAAACCACGGGGACCTTGCGATGCTGGTGGTACTTAGGCGACCTTTCCGTCCACACTTTGGCTCGCTCCGGACTCAATTCCCGGTGCTTCTTCATTCTCGCCTGCATTTCCACCACATCCAAACCCTAACCGTCCCCTACAATCGCAATTGCACGCCACCACTTTACCAACTCTCCCCCCTAGACCTCTCTACTCGCTGAAAGTAGAACCAGCACCGAATCAGAATCCGCCATTCCGACTCCGACAAGACAATTCAATTCAATTCAAGCAAGTTCGGCGAACCTAGCAGCACAACGACAAGCAATCCAAATCTCGAAAGAGCCAGAGCACGATAATATGGAAATTACTGGCAGATCGTTGATGCAGTTAAAATGCAACCGAGCAATTCAATTCAACCGAAGAATGTCAGAAGCTCACGGAACGAATGCGGATAAGGCCGCCATTAATGCCGCTCCATGGCGCGCGGGAGAGAGAGAGAGAGAGGGAGAAAGAGAGCTAAGTGGACACTCACTAATTATTGCGAGGTACCAGGCGATATCGCTGTGAGACGGAGACGACGATTACTGAAGCAGTAACTAACTGCAGCGATGGCGACAGGAGAAAGGAAAAGGACGAGAGAGGAAGCAGGCACTGTCTTGGTTTCGGTCGTCGTCGTCGTCTATCTTTCTGGTACCGCTTTTGAGATTATCTTTTGGCAGGATTTGGAGCTTGGAGAGCGGGACCAGCAGCTATGGCGGACGGACGATTGCGAGAAAGTGACGACTGCCGGAGGAGAGAAAAAGTGGGAAGAGAGTGTGCTTCGAGGAGCGATTTGATTTGTTTGCTTTGGAACTTTCCTTTTTTTCCCTCTTTGACTAGCTTTTGGATTTCCCCGCTAATCTTCCACCCAGCTTTCGCTCTCGAGTCTCGTGGAAGCAGCGAATGATATGGACTATTTTACTTTTTCAATACTGTTATCATTTGGGCTGGTCAACAATAGTGGGTTTAGCCCACGATAAATTTAAGCCCAAAGCGAGCTGGTAAATTTGGGCTTTTCCTTGACTGGACAATAGCTCAGTAAAAAAATTAGGCCGAGCACAGAACTCGGCCCATCTGACCCAATCATTGCCGCCATTCCCTTAGGCCCGAGCAGTGAGTTACCATGAAAAAAGCGCTGAAATGGCGATGGTCGTTGACGAACTGCCGCCCAACTCCCGCCAAAAGTTGCGACTCGCTCTCCCAAAGCTTCCACTCCACTCTTCTTGCTTTTGATCTTCGTCGCCTCGGGATAAATCCGGCGACCGGCAGCCATTGAATTCTTTTAACCCAGTGAATGCTAACTCTCCGTCCATGCTTCGTTTCATTTCTCTCAGTACCCGTTTCCCACTCCTGCCGCCGACCAGCCTCCCTTCTTCGCTCCTTCCATTTCTTCTCTAAACCTCACTCCCTCCTCCCAAAACCCTCTTCCCCTCACTTCCTCAATCCTACTTCCCAGATGTCGAATCGCCCAAACGCATTCGACATTCTCAAGTCCAACGCCAAATCCGTCTACAAGAACAAGCCCCAAGCCGATTCACCCAAGAAGCGGAAAACCCCCGAATCCGAAAACCCTAAACCTGCCGCCGCTTCTCCCGATTCAGCGCCCGACGGGAAGGTTCCCGACCCTGAACCACCAATTCATGGCGGCGGAGATTCTTCGACTGACCAGAAATTGGAGCTGCCCAAGACGGACGGTGCCCAGAAGTCGTTTTTCATGCCTTGTAGTAATTCGAAGAAAGCCCGCGCCGACGATAGGGTCGAGGAATTGAAGAGCAAGGTTGGGGATTTGAAGAAGAAAGCCAAGGAGTTTAAGCCGGAGAAAGTGGCGTGTTGGGAGAAGGGAGAGAGAATTCCGTTCATCTTCGTTTCGTTAGCGTTTGATATGATTGCTAACGAGAGTGGGAGGATTGTGATTACGGATATCGTGTGCAATATGCTGCGGACAGTTATGGATACTACTCCCGAAGATCTGCTGCCGGTGGTATACCTCTTGGCGAACAAGATTGCGCCTGCTCATGAGGGGATTGAGCTTGGGATTGGGGAAGCAATCTTGATCAGAGCACTGGCGGAGGCTTACTCGAAGATGGAGAGGGATGTTAAGAAGATGTACCAGGTTGGCTGCTTTTCTTGGTTCTTGCACTTTGGCTTAATCTTGCACAACATGCAATAATTTGGTCAAATGGATGCAACATGCAGGAGATGGGAGATTTGGGGCTTGTTGCTAAAGCTAGCCGCAGGACTCAACGGACGATGTCCAAGCCTGAATCTTTAACAGTCGCCAAAGTGTTTGACACGTTTCGATTGATTGCTAAGGTTCTCAGTCTATGCACCTTCTTAAGCTGGAATTTTGTTTAGATTTTATCTCACTGAAAAATACTAGGACATCAAGTTGCCCCCTTCACTTTGTGATTGAGTTTGTTGCATGTTCTTATGATTGTTGATAGCAATCTGGTAAGGATAGTCAAGACAGCAAGAGGAAACATATCAAAGGACTTCTTGTGGCTGCCATTGACTGCGAGCCTCAGTATATTATGCGTTTGCTTCAGGTTAGGTAGTTGAACGTTTCTTGCGATCTGCTGACTATTTCTCATACTCTTCTAACCTTTCTGTTGATTGATTTCACAGTCGAAGCTGCGAATTGGTTTTTCAGAGCAGACTCTTTTGGCTGCTTTAGGCCAGGCTGCTGTGTACATTGAGAAGCATTCTAAACCACCTTCAAATGTTCAGTCACCTTTGGAAGAGGTCTGTAGATGCACTCCATCTATCATCTATATACTGTATATCCTACTGTATTAGGAATCTTAAACCATTCTGTGTCATAGTTGGTCGTCCAGTATGCTCTCATCTGCACCACCTTGCTTCTCAAATGTTAATTTACTGTAAACTATAAAACTAATGCTTGACCAGGCCGTTTTTTTTTTTTTTTTGGAAATTGTAAGGTTGCCTATCATTTGAATGATTTCCTTTTCTTGTGGCTCAAATAATAGTGTATCAGTGACACAGGAGTAGTGTTCTCAAACTAGTAACCCACCCCATCCCAAACAGTCCAGAGGTTCCTTCAGAATTTGATCCTGAGTTAGTACTTTGTCATTTATTGTCTACCTGATTCTGCCAAGTGTGAACACTACAGCAAGTCTGTAAGCAGGGGTAATAATGTATAATTGAGTGCACTCACTTGATCAGAGAATGTTTAGTTGACATGTTCATCTGATCTTGGTTATTTTAATATCCTGTTTCAGGCTGTGCGCATTGTTAAGGGAGTCTACTCAGTCCTTCCTGTATATGATATAATTGTCCCTGCTCTTCTCAGTAATGGTGTATGGAATCTTTCCAAGACTTGTAACCTTGTGCCTGGTGTTCCTGTTGCACCGATGCTTGCTAAATCAACCAAGGCTGTTTCTGAGATATTAAATAAATTCCAGGATATAGAATTCACGTGTGAATACAAGTATGATGGAGAGCGTGCTCAGGTAATCCTAAGTTAGCGAAGCATTTTTGTACGCAATGCTTGCTTTTACTTGTATTTGTTTTCTGACTTCTCTTGCTTATTTAGATTCACTATATGGAGGATGGTACAGTTGAGATATATAGCCGGAATGCTGAGCGAAACACTGGAAAATTTCCTGATGTTGTGGCTACAATTTCAAGGTAAGCTTGATTCTTATGATGGACCTTATATGTCATATGTCGATTGGCTAGAAAATTGTGCTTTGCTTTTAGATCATACAACCCCTTGGCATAGACTATCTGTAGAATTTAGCTAAGTGCAATGCTCTAAATCTTTGTTGGAATTCTTTCCATAGTTGCCTCTTGAGGAACAAGCGGTGGCATGCTTTTTTAGGTAGCCATAAACATCTTTGGGCTCTCTGTTATCTTCTAATCTTTGACCACTTCATCTGAGATCAGATCTTGGATACATGCTTGTCTATGTTTCTGCATGGGTACAGAACTGTGAAAACGTAAATATGATTGGTAATGTAACTTTGGTTCTGCTACTGAGAGATCACTGGTATGCATATGAGAGATATCAATATTCTTGCATGTCCGAAAACTGGGATACATTGTTCTAGTATTTGCTTCTTGGTAATTTACACGTTCATTGTGTGTGCTAAATGCTAGTAGACTTTTTGCATTAATGCCTTTTCCTATCCAGGTTGAAGAAGTCTTCTGTGAAATCATTCATTCTGGATGGTGAACTGGTTGCCTATGACCGAGAAAAAAATAAAATCCTTCCCTTTCAGGTTCGATATTTGAGATAAAACCTGTTTATAATGTATGCCCTTTTATTTCTCTCTTTCTGAAGTTTCTGAAGAAATTTCAATGAGTTAACCGGGATGGTGTATTCTGAATGTTCGCGATGTTATTTCTTTCTTCCAGATACTTAGTACACGAGCCCGCAAAAATGTGGTCATGAGTGAGATAAAGGTTGATGTGTGCATATTTGCTTTTGACATGCTGTTTCTTAATGGCGAACCACTTATTCAAGAACAGTTGGAAGTTCGTCGAAAGGTACTTTGCTTGTGTTTTCTTCTTTCATGTTGCTTGAGAATCCTCTTGGAGTTTCTATTTATTGCGTAAAAATGTGAAATTGCTACCCTTTCTCTGCTTTTGGCCTTTATGGGTGATAGCGGATCTTGTTTCTGGAATCGTGTATGCATCCCTGTATGGTTTAATTCTAACTGACAATTTTCTAGCTTGGGATATAAGCTCTGTTTATGACGTTGGTGGTGGCTTTGACTGTATGCAGCGGCTGTATGATTCATTTGAGGTTGAGCCTGGATTCTTTCAGTATGCAACAGCAATAACTTCTAACGACCTCGAGGAAATACAGAAGTTTCTGAATGCAGCTGTTGGCTCTAGGTCATTTCTAATAATCTTTAAGTTTGTGGATCATGAGTGTGTATGTACTGGTTTGACTCTGTGTGTGTGAGTAACTGTACCTTTTTCATCAATACCTCAAAGGTTTATGGTGCCTGAATCAATACTATTCAACCTGTGCGCTGATTTCATTTCTCTGAAACTTAAGTCCCCCCCCCCAAAAAAAAAAGCCATTGTCGTGGCCTTTACACTTGAAGGAGTTGGTTTTGCGATGCATAGTCATATCTGCTGTTAACTTCGCTTAGTGTATCTCTTTTTTCCCTTGCAGTTCTGAGGGTTTGATCATCAAAACGCTGAATAAAGATGCTACATATGAACCTTCAAAACGATCACGCAATTGGCTAAAATTAAAGAAAGATTACATGGAAAGGTATGATTACACCCCTCAAATGGAGATTGTCTTGGATTTGTATTCATTGACTCTGACTGAGATTAGCTATACAGCCTTGGGGACTCATTTGATCTGGTTCCTATTGGTGCTTTCCATGGTACCGGGAAGCGTACAGGTAATGTGACTGATGGCTAGAATTGTATTTTCATTATCATATATATGTTCCTATTGCCTTCATGCTGGTAATGCTGCTCATTCCTCAGGCTTCTATGGTGCATTTCTTCTTGCTTGTTATGACACTGACAGAGAGGAATATCAAAGTATTTGTAAATTGGGTGAGACAACACTTTCTTGTCACTCTGCTTAATTGCTGTTAGGTGCCTTTTACTAAAGGTTATTGATGGGTATTTCATTATTTTAGACATGGTGTGATTCTTAACATTTAAGCAGTGTTTTCTGCTTATGCTGAAGCTGTTGTTATTGCTGTCGTGTGGCAGGTACGGGATTCAGTGAAGCACTGCTTGAAGAACATTCTACTAGACTACGCACGAAAGTGATTTCCGAACCAAAGGTCTGCTGCTTGTGCCATTCTAGCAGTTGAGAATGTGGGTAGTATTTAGTACTTTCCCATTGTCCAATTCTGACTGTAATGTTCATTTCAGACATACTACAGGTTTGGAGAGAAGCTGAATCCAGATGTGTGGTTTGAGCCATCTGAGGTAATAACAATTGATACTTATTTATTTGTAAGAAGTAATTTGGATATTATTTCCTGTTTGTTTGGGTAAACTACAAAATGCGGTCAGCAACTTAAGCTGTGGAACCTAGTAGTAACTTTTGTTCTCTTTTTTCCTCATTCTCTTGGCAAATGAGCAGGTATGGGAGGTGAAAGCTGCAGACTTGACAATCAGCCCTGTCCATTGTGCAGCAATTGGTGCAGTGGATCCTAACAAGGTCTCACATCCGTGATAAATTTCAGATTATGCTTCAGATTTTGCTCGAGTTAGAAACTGGTTTTACCCAAGTGAACTGGAACCCTTCAGCTGCAGTGACTAGGACAATATGAAAAATTGGTCAGTTTTGTTATCTCTCAGATGGGGTTCTCTCTTCTAACAGTAGTCTGCGTTCTTGGCTCAGGGTATTTCTCTGCGGTTCCCTCGTATGTTACGTGTCAGAACAGACAAGCTTCCAGAGGAAGCTTCATCAGCCGAGCAGGTGAAATTCTGTTGCATTGATGACTCGGATAAATGAAAATGGGGATTACCAAGAAAGGGGAAAAAGGAGGGAGGAGGGTGTTCTTGCTAGCTAGCTGGATGTCTCTTTTTTATGTCTTGGTCACATATTACTGATTGTGCTTATTTACTAGGTGGCGGAGATGTATAATGCTCAGAAGCACAATCAGCCGAACCCTGAGGCAGATGATGAAGATGATTAAGCATCAGATCTTTCATCTTTGCATTTATATCACCTTCAAAGTGCAAGTGCCTAAGACTGTTGCTATGTTGCAGCAAAGATCCTACAGTGCATTTGACCCTCTTCCAAGAAACCAGATGGCAAAGTCATGTTTGCTGCGCTGTAAAGATTGTGGTTGCAGTAAATTGAAACTGAGCACCATGACAGCTTAAACCCCTAGAAAATTTGTTGTAGGCAAAGAAAATTTTGGTGTTTGAAACTCAGAGTTGCATACTTGTAATGCTAGTGAACTGGGTCTGCTACAGCTCTAAGGTTAGGACAAAGAAGCACTGTCTGAATCTGCCATAGAATTAACTTGATTTTGGAGAATGAATCTCATCAAACGAAGGGTGCAGATTATATTTGGTGTACAGTTCTATCTTGCAACCTGTTGTCCCAGTTTATTTGATATACAGTTAGGCTTTGTATGTTGATGAATGGTACAGGTCTCTTGACTGGAAGTTTCTTTTATGTTCTGGAGTTGCCATGTGATGAACGGGATTTCCGCTTAGGGTCCCCCAAACGGCCAAATAGGTAAGGAAGTAGAAAGGTTTGTTTCTTTGTCTGGGCTAATGGGAGGAGCCAGAAGTAAGACAGTAATTTGCTGTCAGCGTTTCAGGGACTTTTGGTCCAAGTCTGCAATCTTCTGCCGTGTTGACCAAGGAAACATGTCATGAAATGGCGGCCTTTTAGGGTGTCCTCCCAGCTGCAGCTGACAGCCAACTTCCAGTAGCAGATGTTGGGGTTTGCCCGCAGCTTCACGTTCTATCAGGTCTTCTCAAGTTCCCCTCCTTTCCCCGCCACATGCTTCTCTTGCTCTAGTTTTGCTTAGCATGATCAACAGTGTGGCGCCAACACAAACTGATAAAGTTGGATTGTGTGGTCAGCGATCTCAGCCACAGCATTAATGATATTTACAAAAGTGTTACCGTATGCATAAGATTACGTGATCATTCGATACGACGGCGATGGCTTTGTAGGCATACTCCTATCCTGTTCTTCATATTAACCAAACTGCACTTGCTCAGGCAAGTGGCAATAATGTGAACTTTCTAACTTGATCATATATTTGGCCGCCGGATAAAACAGAGGCCGTTTCTGTGCATATTTGACTTTAGCATTGGGCAGTGTGAACTAACTTCCGGCATAGGCTAGGTTTAGACTGTAGCGCAGGTGTTCTATAAAACACAAAGTAGCAGTGGGATGGGAGATGGAGATTTTGGGTCAAAATGAGTGGCAGTGGGGGCAGCAGGAAAAGAGGCTTTACCCTTCTGAGGGAGCAATAAAACAAAAGCAACAAACAATCATAGTTTAGGATCCCCCAAAACATAATTCTCCCTTTTCCTTTGAAAATTACCATAAGAACAGCACAAGTTTGTCTACTCAAATAGTGAATTAGTGATCACTAATCTCCATTATCACACTAACCATACATCATCATCACCACCACCACCACCGCCATGAACAGTGACAGTGACACTAGCAGCTGCAGAAGAAGATGAAAGAAGAAAAAGAGCAGTAGATCCTGAAATGGGATTTGTGGGGATCCACTCTCTCTACCTAAAAGGAAAAAGTCTACGTGACCTCTCTCTTTCTCTCTTTACTGGTAGTTAGTTGGCCTTCTTCTCAACCTTTACCTCTCCTTCCAACTTTACCACCACCAACTTCTCAACCACATCCACCATTCCCACCTTGGATTCTCAGATCAACAACAGAAAAGAAAGAAGCAAACAAACAGGAACTCAAGAACAATCAAAAACAATACTTGCTACATTGTAATCAATCATCCTTTGCTGCACTTAGCCTTCCACAAAGGTGTCTTCGTCACATCTCAAAACTCCTTAGCAATATTTCAAGGAGGAGAAGATTTGTATGTCAAAACCTCCCCCATAACTAACAATTTCCCCAGCCCTTCAATGAGGGAAAGTAAAAAAAGACCCAAAAACTCAAGCTTTGTCTTCTCCAACACTACTATCAATAGTACTACTCTGCCTCCATCTTCCACTTCTCATCAAAAGTGGAACTTTGGAAGGAAGGAAGCTAGACAGAACAAACCCACTCTATGTACAAAAATGGCTGCTTGCTCCTTTGCCATACTATATCAGTCCCTCAGAATTAAGTCCCCTCTAAGGCTTTAGTGGTAAAACTTGGGAGTAAAGTAAGAGTCTTTGGATTTGTGAGACCTTGGATCTAAAAGGAAGGAAGAAAGAAGAAACTAGTATATAGCTTTTTTTCTGGTGTGATGTGATGTTAATGGAGAACTACTCGGTGGAACTTAGTTTCAGTTGGGGACTCACAGAATCCACCGTCGGGAACAACCCTCTTCCTGCTGCAGAACCCGTTCCCGATTCCGAGTAAAGAGTAGTCCTGTGGCGGAGTAGTCGCCGGGAAAGGCGCCGGCGGCGAAGGGATAGTCACCGGCGGTATCTCAAACGACTCCATCGCCGGCGGCGGGTGCCTCCATTGAGGAAGCGGCCCTGCTAGAAGCAGAGTCTGTAACAACGGCCCTGCTTTCATCACCGCCTGCAAAAGCTTCCCCTTTTCCGGCAACGGCTTCTCCGGCTCCGGCAGTAAAACCTCCCCTGCTTCCTCCGCTCGCGGCGGCGGAGGCGGAATTGGGTCGAGAACAGGTGAGGAAACGATACTCTCTTCACAATCCGAAGACGAAAACCCATTGTTGTTGGAGTCGATTCCTCTTCTGGGTTCGTCTTCAATGCAGGAAATTCCCGACAAAGGAGGAGTATTTTGGTGTTGATGGAGCAAGAGGTTCTCGAGCAGAACCCTCTGGTATTTCTCCTGGGCGTCGTCTCTTTCGCGTATTGCTTTCCCGAGAAACTCCTTGAGCTGAATCAGCTGGTCGTCTCGCTTCTTGAGCTCCTCCTGGGCTGCAATCCGGGTTTGCTCGAGCTCCAGGGTCGTGTAGAGAAGTGAGTGCTTCAGTTCTTCCATGCTCTGCAAAATGTTGGAAATGGAAATTCCCCTGTTTTAGAAACTCAGGGGAAGGAGAAAGGAAAGGAAGGAGAGGGAAAAGGGGGAATGTTGTATGTTACCTTTCCATGGCAGAAGTAAGCCCAGGTGAGAAGAGAGTTTCTGTGGCTGTCCATGGTTGTTGGTCTCTGCTGCTTCTTCACGGCACTGTGAGTGAAGTAACGACTGAAGTGAAGCAGCGAGGAGGAGGGAAGGAAGAATTGTTGTTTATAGAGAGGGGTGGAAAAGGCAGGGGACAGGGAAAGATAAGCAAGTTTTTTTTTTCTTTTTCTTTTTATTTTTCGGGTAGAGGGTTTTTGCTTTTTTTCAGTTGGGTTTTCGTTGGGACTTGGGTCTTATAGGGCGAGAAGGGAGGCTTGTTGCCGCGTTTTTTAGTGGTTAAACTAGTTTAAATCGTTATATCGGTTTTGTAAGTGATATGGTTCAATAAGGTAGAATTGATTTGCATTTAATTTTTTTTATAAGGGTGATATAAGTTTTTTTTTTTGTAATTAAGGTACTACTTAAGGGATTCGAGCCTTGGACCTTCAGATTGTAGGCTAGTGGTATTACCAGTTACCACTGGGCCAAGCCTTTGTTCATTACAATCCATATTAATTTTTAAACAAAATACAACATTACGACAAATCTTCATACTTAAATACAACATTTAACGTCAACATCCAAACGCTTATACATGAATCCAACAAATAACATCAACATCTAAAGGTTCATATTTGAATCCAACAAACTCCTTCTTTGTTAATTGATTCCACCAAATGACACCATTTGTTTAGGGATCGAATATCGGTCATTCGGGTTGGACCACTAATTTTCCTGACTTTGATCGGTTGTTAGTGAATTTAATCGATTTTGATTTACCGCTAATTTGGGAGTTTTCCCGCCAGTTTTGTATCAGATACTAGTTGAATATGATTGTACCCACTGATATGCCAGTTTAGTATCCAAATACCATCATATCCTCCACACTCAGTGATTTTGTCCCTGGTCGTTCCATTCCATCTTTGATAACGCCATTACTTCATTCGAATGTGTCAAGGTAATGAAAGACAAATAATGGGAGGGGGGAGACTTCTTTGTAGCGAATCTCGACATGACAAAGGTATATGATCGAATGAGGTTGAGTTTCGTATATAAAGCAACAAATAATTTGAGATTTGCAACAACATGGATAAACCTTGTTTGTCAATGGACATAAGACGAGAAGCTTTGATCCCTACATCCACGAAATAGCGCATAAGAAAGAGAGCACAAAGAGTGTCACAACTCTTCTTGCAAATAACAACATCCAATTTGCTTGAGCAAATCATCAAGAAAGCAAACAACTGGACAACATCCTAAGAGACTGTGAAATAGAGTCCGACCAATTTCAGTAAATCGGAGCTGATGACTTTTAGCACAAATAACCCTTGAAGGTGGAAATGAGCCAAACTGCCCATTACATAGTTCAGAGTTCCCTCAAAAGAATCTTCATATTTGAACTTTTATTCAGTATCTTACTGGTGCATTTTAAAAGAAGTAAGTGGAGTTAGTTTTTAATTAGTCCATTAATTAAGCAAAAATTGCAGACAGGGAAGAAAGCTGTGGAAAAAGTTCCAAGGAAACGGAAAACAGCTTCCGTTATATGTTTGACAGCTCTTTCTGGTGCGTTGCTGCTGTGGAGATTAGAACCAAAAAACGCGTCGTTCCGTTCTAGCTAGCTGCCATCACATATTCTTATTTGTTTTCCAAATGGAACTATACACACAAAATAACATCAAATCACAAACTGAAAGATTCATAACCATTTTTAAACTACACATATATCTGTCGTATAATAATCTAAGTAGTTGTCAATGTCGTATTTGGGTGATTTGAGCTCCGAAGATTCTATCTTTTTCGCTATGCAATTATAGAAGCAGTTCACTTTCGGTCAACCCAAAACAGCGAACAGCTAATTAAAACATATATCGTAGGACAAATTGCAAGCGTCATGGTGACGTTTGGTTCAACCGCAATTTCGGTTCGATCACACTAATGTCCATCCGCACAAACCATCCATTGGAATAGTTAGCTTATTATTAGGGTTCCATTTTCTAGGGTTTTTCGATTCTCTGCATAAGAAAGTATTAGCTAATTTTACCCGGAAAGTCTAAAGTTTGAATCCATTAAATAGCACGTAAACTATAAATTGGATGAATATCACCTCACTAGCTAGTAAGGTATTAGCTAGGCCTAAAACTTTCTATGTCAGAAATTTGAAGCCCTTTTTTTTTTGTCTCCATCTACTCGTTTTCCTTGCTAAAAACCTAACAATTTTGGCTTCTAATAGAAACCCAAATTTGAACGTTCTGAAAAAATTCCCTCAAGAATTTTGTAAATTTTATGTGGTTTTTTTTTATCTAATGCAGCCATTATATATATATAGGAAGCAAATAAATAATTTTATTTTTGACTTTATAACCCACCATTAGGTGACTTTTCCCAAGAGTAGGTCTTTGTGGGTTATATATATTGAATACAATACTTTGGAGAGAATATCCAAAGATTTATGAGGAAGACATGACGTTGAAGGAATAACATTTGTATATGTTAAAAGGTGTTGGATTTTGCTACGGTGACATGCATGTCACGGTGACATGCACTTTTCGGTCGACCTCATATAGGATCAGGTCGACCTAATTGTTGTTTCGGTGTAAAAACAGTTTCATTGTGCCTACTTTGGAGATTCATATCTTACAATTGGCTAGATGGAAATTGGAGATTAAAGGCTTGTTTTGAAGCTGAATTGTCCCTCTACACATTAAAGTACTTGGGAGCTTAATAGAAAGTCCAGAAGACCATTTTTGAACCTGACCAAAAGGCAATGCCAAAACCGGGAAACTGCCTGAAAATGGCTAAGCCTGGCAACGTGTTTGTCAAGTCTACTTTGGAGCTCAATTTGAGAAGCATGGATGCGAGTCAAGTCTAGGGGCCTCTACCACGTTAAATTACGTATTTTTTTATACAAAGGAAACGCATTGGATGAAAGATTGAAAATCTTTAAGGCTTCAAACAAAAGGCTCGTAGTTGCTACGAAGGCTGTTTTTCTGGCAGCTTGCTTGTGCTCGAAGTCTGCCAGAAAAACAGCCTTCGTAGCAACTTCGACCCTTTTGTTTGAAGCCTTACAGATATCCAATCTTTCATCCAATGCCTTGAATTTGTATAAAAACATACCTAATTTAACGTGGTAGAGGCTCCTGGACTCGACCCGCATTCATGCTTCTCGAATTGAGCTTCAAAATAGGCTTCACAAACACGTTTCCAGACTTAGCCATTTCCAGGCAGTTTCCCAGTTTTGGCATAGCCTTTTGATGAGGTTCAAAAATGGTCTTATGGACTTCCTATCGAGCTCTCAATCACTTCAATATGTAGAGGGACACTCCAGCTTCCGAACAAGTCATTAGTCTTCAATTTCCATATAGCCAATTGCATGATATGAATATACAAAGTAGGCACCATGAACTGTTTTTACACTGAAGCAACATATTTGGTCGACCGAATCCTAAAGGAGGTCGACCGGATCCTATATGAGGTCGACCGAATTCTAAATGAGGTCGACCTAATCCTAACTAAGGTCGACCGGAAAGTGCAAGTCACCGTGACATGCATGTCACCGTAGGCACACCCAAAGGTGTTATAATTTCGTAAATTCACATTTATTCAATTACCTAAACGTCTATATAATTATTGGCCAAGGAAAAGGAGTATAGTAGTTAGCTAGCTAGAAATTCCACAAGTGTATAATTTAGTTAGAAGTCATTTCGAGGAATTTCACAGGGGGAAGATTTTTCAATAATTTAGAAGTCGGGGGTTTATGTAAATGTGGGGAAACAACAAATCATTAGCATGTCTTGTTTGACAAAGATAAACATCACAAAGAAAGAGCTAACGGTTGAGAAAAACAAATCCCACATTCATACTCCCACATGGCTTTCATTTCTGTCTTTTCATAGGCTGCATGTGCCCTTCATGCTCACCAGTCATCATATATGTGGAATCTAAAATGGAATTGAAATTCAATGCCCTTGATGTTAACATTTTGTGGTATTTCATTCTCCAATCTTTACCGGAAAGGCATTCGATAGTCCTGTAAAATCTCACATGGTAAGTTTGGTATATTTGAATCATCAATCTTAAATGTAGAGGACGGGGAGTACATGGGGAATCAGAGAAAGGAGGAGATGTGGTGCAGACATGTGGTATTATTTTCCTGCCGGGAAAACTAGAGACTTCCAAACAAACGATTGAACAATATGGTCCATACTTCTTTGAACAAAGTTCAAATAAGGGTATTCAATGTTCTTGATGATCTACGAGATAAAGCTAAATTACATTAATCTACTGCTATGGAGGTTCGGTGAGAGTTCCAAAACTATGACTATAGCTATGAGTAAAATTGCAGAGAAAAAGATAAAATGATAAAATTTGACATTGAGTTGTCTGGTGTGAATTTGGTGAACCCCTCCTTTATCGTCTTCACCTCCTATTTATAGCCACAAGAAGTAACTGTCTTCAAAAACCGTTCTGCTGATGTGGAGTGACGATTACTCTCTTCAACTGCCCCATTGATGCCTTGGCGACGTTAGTGCCCTCTTGAAACTTCACTCCCCGCTCTTAGTATCTCCTCCATAGCTTTGCTCATCCATTGTGAGGATGACAGTATGGTGGCCACCCCCTCATCACATCATGGGGGTGGTAGTATGGTGGTCAGTGGTCACCCCCCTCACCACATCATGGGGGTGGCAGTATGTTAGTGATGACAATTTGAACCCGACCTAACCCGCGATGGGGCGGGTATTACCTGACCCGCAGTAGCGTGGGGCGGGGTATGGGTACTTACTTCCGACCCGCCCAGCCCTTTCTTCACCCATTTTAACTCAAATACTTATAGTATCTATTCATATTTCTAATATTTTGAGTGTTCTTTAACAAGTTAGACTCGACTTTCAACTAGTTAGACTTAATTACCCAATCTATTATTACTATTTTCATTCATAAAGTGTTTTCCACTTTATTTTATCACAAAAAGTAAAATATTGCATGTATATAACATGTAAGAATGGGTCGACCCGCCCCATTGTCATCACTAAGTATGGTGGCCACCCCCCTCACCTCACCACATATGGGGGTGACATGTTGATCACCACCCCACTCGGCACATCATGGGGTGGCTCCAACACTTAGCCAAATTTTGGAATATATGACTAAAGTGGCGCATGATTGTATGGAGTTATGGGCCCAAAAACTTAATCCAC